TAAATGGACCTAAGGTCGTTTTGACATAAATGAGTGGGCCGAAGGCCGTTTTGACACAAATGTCTGGGCCGAAGGCTGTTTTGACGTAAACGAATGGACCGAAGGTCGTTTTGACAGAAATGAATGGACCGAAGGTCGTTTTGATATAAATGAGTGGACCGATGGTCGTTTGGACATGAATGAATGGACCTAAGGTTGTTTTGACATGAATGAGTGGGCCGAAGGCCGTTTTGACACGAATGTATGGGCCAAAGGCCGTTTTGACTTAAACGAATGGGCCGAAGGCCATTTTGACAGAAATGAATGGGCCGAAGGCCGTTTTGACATAAATGAATAGGCTGAAGGCTGTTTTAACATGAATGAAAATCTGAATGGGCCAAAGGCCAGAATGTTTGGAACTACAGTCACTTGATTTGAATTTCGTATAGTTATTTATCTGTTAATAGAAATATGAATTGGGCCCAAGGCCGTTTGGAACATGTTGTTCTACATTGTTATGTAACTTCTGTATTTGATTTGATATTATTCACTGGACTTTCGCTCACACTCATTCATGTGTTTGTAGGTGAGCCAAGAGAAGTCCAGACCCAGCCTCAGTGAAGTCTGTATGGAACAACTAAGGTTTTGAGAGAGTCAGCCCTTGTGTCTCACGCACGAGACCCGTCTTCGCCCTTTTGTTATGTATTTACATTTTGTCAGGTTGGCGAAGTTTTGAATACGTCTGTATATAGTTTTCATGGGTTGACTTAGTTTGGATGATCCTGTCTGTATAGAATCTAATGTCATTACACTTTCTGTTGTGAGTTATTAACATATGTACATATGGAATGTTTATGGTGTGCATATAAACACGGCTCTATGGACAAAGTTTTAAATTTGCTTCCGTTTGGCCCCCTTTACTCTGATGAGTCTTGTCTTATTTGGTTTTTGACCGTAGGTAATCTCGTGATTACTGGTCGGTTATGGCCTTAACCCATAGGGGCGGGTTTGGGTTGTAACAGAGGGCATCTTAAATTTCGTAATAGCATTTGTGGGGTGGATTTGGCCTTAAAATATTTGCGTAATGACAAAATATAGATTTCAGTTTTTTCCCATGCTTTAACTGTGTGGATTGCCCAAAAAGTACATTCAATTTAATCCCCTATTGGATAAGGGTCAAGGGTAGATTGGGTGTAGACCTAAACTTTGACATGATATGCATAAAGTGGTTGTCCTCATATTCAAACTCACCACCTCAAGTTGATAGGTTGAGTTTTAACCATTGAATTTAACCAATGGTCCTGTGTATATAATGCGTAGATTAACAGGTTTGAGCAACATGAATTTTCCCACTAAATTACTGATATTGCTAAACTCCTTTTTTTTCTTTTCCGATCCGCATATTGGTAAGCTCTATCAAGTTTTAGTTCTCATTATTTATTTTTTTCAATAAGCTTCTCTTTTGCAGGATGAGAATGTAATAAGCAAGTTTCAGAGTATTTGAATTGGAGCATTTTGTTGGTGAAGTCTTTTTTTTTTTTTCCCTAGTTTTCAAACATTATTTCTATACTCTCAATTCAGCCAGGTATGAAAGTGGGCTTTGTACAATCAGTCACTCAGTTGTGGCATTCTTTCCAGGAGAAAAGAAAAGAAAAGATGCTGATCCCAAAACCGTAAAAGGAGAACCTCATGTCTTGTCCTCCTCCTCTTAACATCTAACATCTAAGGATTGTGATGCTGTCAATTGTCAATCTACAACAATGTAACATTGCTGAGCTTGGGGGTTTCCACTTAAACAGTAAACAAACTCTCTGTATTTTCAGGATCTTAGAGTTTGCTAGGGATGAGTAATTCAGTTAATACTGTAGGAGTAGACATTCTTATGGGATGATTTTTGAATATTGGAATTATAATTTATCTAGAAATAATCTCTGCTAGACTCTCTGAAGGATAATGAGCTTGGGGGTTTCCACTTAAACAGTAAACAAACTCTCTGTATTTTCAGGATCTTAGAGTTTGCTAGGGATGAGTAATTCAGTTAATACTGTAGGAGTAGACATTCTTATGGGATGATTTTTGAATATTGGAATTATAATTTATCTAGAAATAATCTGGAAAGGTGATTGGTATGTATATAGCTAATTCAGTTGCTTGGTAAACTGACCAAAAGATTAGCCTTGCTTCCTGGTGATTGGTATTTATCTAGAAACCTATTTCAAAACCAAAATGTAGAGCCACAAACATACAAACCGAAATCATACAAATCTGAAATCAAAATACATAAATAGAAATACATAAATACCAAAAGATTCGAAAACTTATTTCAAAATCAAAACTGAAATCATACAAACCCATTTCAAAATCAAAACCGAAATCATTCAAACCCATTTCGAAATCAAAATTAAAACTGAAACCATGTCAAAATTATGGTAAAAGAAAAGAGTGAATATCAGATCTTTTTTTTAATTAGGACAATCAAACAAAATACAAAATGATAGCTCACAACAAACCACACAACACCATCACTATCAAAGAAGATTTTTTAATGTAAAAAAAAAATTATAAAGTCCCAGAACTTCCGTGCTGTGTGTGCGATTTTATCTCTCTCATCTCTTTTTAATAGAAACCAAGTCCAAGCTGCTGCGGACGATGACCGATCCAGGCTTCTGAGTGACTCAGAGAATGTGGTTAAATTAGTGGATTGATCAGCCAAAAATTCTGCAGAATTCATATGCAGAAGCAATATATCAGTTGGCTCAATATCAAAAAATTCACCCGTATATATTAGTTGGCTCAATATCAAAGCAAAAGCCAAACATTACCAAAGCAATAACAAAAGAAAAACAATAAGAACCAAAGTAATAAACTAACCGAGCAGCCGAGCAGCCGAAGTGAATAGCCGAGCAGCCAAAGTGATGAAGGCAAAAGCTGAGAGAGGAAAAAAAAAATTCAAGAAGAAAAACAATTACCCGAAGAAGAAAAATTCAAGAAGAACCCAGCAGTTAAGTCATGTTTTCAACCCAGCAATTAAAAAAAGGGTACCCAACAGATCACTGCTCCTCATCAAAATGTGATTGATCAAGATTTATCAGCATATCGGGTGAGAACGGGCATGTACTTCCTTTGCCATTATGATTTTGATATCCAGCAAAGTTGCTCAAACGATGATGAATGGACTACAAAGGGCTAGTATTTGTCTGTCCTTCATTCACATTATATTTTCTACAAAATGTTATAGCCAAGCCAAGCTTCACATCTCATCAGAGAGTAGGAATGGGAAGGTAGATAGAGGGTATGGGAAGACAAATGGTAGACAGAGGGTATGGGGGAGACACATAAATGTGTTGGGCCGGAAATGTGAGCCATCCAAAGCAAATCTAAACCATTGATATAAACTTGGGATTAATCTCAGCCATTGGATCAAAATGTATCTCACATACATTTTTGACATAAATTCAAAAACCTTTGTGACTTATTATATAGATATAGGCTCAATTTGGCAACAAGTTAAAAAAAGTCAGTTTTTTGACTTTTTAATTTTTTTAGCCAAAAAGTCAGCTTTTTTACCCAAAAGAAGTCAGCTTTTTGCCAAAAAAGCCAAAAAATTAATTTTTTACCAATTTTTCAAAACACTCCATATTTAAATGTATGAAAGATGATGGAGTGAAGTATATGTCTCATCTTTTCTTTTTTTTTTCTTTTTTTTTTCTTTTCCTCAGTAGAGGTTTTTACAAATCTGATGGCATTGTTTATAAATTTGAAGATGTGTCAGGGACATTTTTGTCTTAAAAATGGTGTTACTGTCCTTGCAAGTGCGTGACTCTCACTTTAACGGAAAAGCTAACTGTGGGTTTTAGTCTACAAACCACATGAGAGTTATCTGGTGATTTCCGAATGTGATGGATAATCTATACCCAGCCAAAACTATAGGGGGTAAAGTGAAATTTGCCTTAATTTATAATGAGATTACAAATCTCAAAAAGAAAAATAATTTTCCTAACATAAAGAGAGAATTTATATTAAATAGAAACCTCTGATGTGTCAGTATAATTTACCCATTTTATTTTAGAGATTGGCTTCCCTCCGGTCCTTGATCGGACTAGAGGGTACTATTGGGCCCATGGGAGCCCACCACGGGTCCCGTTTTGATAATCCTAACCGTCAATATGTAGAACTCGTCAAGTACTATATGCTTGTAAAAAATCACGTTGATCGGATATCGATAACTATTTTATCGGATTAGATTTTTGTCAACCGTTTATTATTTTACCGTTTATCTTTTTTATACAAAACTGATTTGATCACATAGCTATTGATATCCGATCAACGTAATTTTTTACAAGCATATAGCACTTGACGATGTTTACATATTAAATGATTTAAATTATCAAAATAAAACCTATGGTGAGTCTTCGCAAATTTAACAATACTTTCCAATCTCATCACCGACGAGAGTTAACTCAAACCCTTTATTTTATGTTTCTCACCTTGAAGTCTGTAAACAAGTTTGATAGTTCAAGCCACAAAAGCTATTTGGCCTGTTTGGTAGAGCTGTGGGAAAGTAATTATAGATTATAGCTTAACAGATTATAGCTTATAGCTGTGAGTATAAGCTGCTAACCTGTTTGGTGTAGTTGTGGGATTATAGATTTAAGCAGTAGAGTAGTATTTGATAAATAAGCTGTAAAATAGCTTTTTGCTGTGTAATTGTCAATTTTGCCCTTATGAAGAGGAAATTTGTAATTTTTGTCATTTTCTTCTGTTTAAATATTGAAAAAGTTATTTCATTAATGGAAATTGATTAATTAGTACCTAATTTGGTACATTTCATTTACCTCTAATTTTTTTTTTGTATTTATTTTTTTTGTAATAAATATTGAGTTGACAAGAAAACAAAAAATTTAATTGCAATAAAAATATAATAAATTACTATTAAGGCAAGAAAAAGGGCTCTTCATAGATATTTATAGAGCTCCTAATTTCATCTGCAAATTGGCATACAAATATTATGTCTCCTCACTTCCATTTCGGTGTCATCACATGCAACATCATTCCCATGGCGTGCTTGATGAGACGAAGATCCTTCCTCTTCATTAGGCATATAATCCGTGTATCTATCATAAGAGTCAAATGCAATATCGCGGAGCTTACTTCGTCGGATGAAATTATGAATTGCCATTGTTGCACAAACAAGTTTGACTTGGGTCGGCCACTTGTAGTTTGGTGGGATATCCTTTATCATCGGCCATCTTGCTTTCCAAATCCCGAACGTTCTTTCTATTACACTTCTAAGTGAGGAATGTGCTTGGTTGAATTTTTCTTGTGCATTTTTTGGGGGGGTTGACCATGTTCAAATTGAGCTAGATGGTATCGCTCTCCTTTGTAAGGTGCAAGATATCCTTTCATGTTTGGATAACCAGCATCCACCAAGTAAAACTCATCTATTTTAAAATTTCAAAATAAAATATAAGTAAGAAATTATAAATGTAAAAAGAAATATGAAGATGTGAGTGTGGTGCATCTATTGTAGCAATCGAATATAAAACAGTTACCTCCTTGTGGTTTTGGAAAATTAAAACTAGGATTCCTAATTGCATCTAAGAAGATCCGAGTATCGTGTGCACTTCCTTCCCATCCTGGTAAGCAAAATGTGAAACACATATCAAAGTCACATGCGGCCATTATGTTTTGAGTCGCATATCCCTTTCTACCTATTAGACGAGCTTGCTTATCTGGAGATATATATGCTTTGATGTGTGTCCCGTCAATTGCTCCAATACAATCCTATGACATGATAATGAATAAAAAACATTTTAGCCACAGATTAGTATAAATATCCTACCAACATTAATTATATGTAACACCCAAGTTGTGCTTGTAGTTAATTATTTACCTTGAAATGAGGATAATATTTGCGGTTACGTCGAATATATGGATGCACACCATTAGTCGGTTGAGGCCTTATCCAGTCAATGGACATCTTTGTAACAGCCTTTAACACCTTCTTAAAATATTTTGAAATAGTCTCGCCAGAATGTTGAAATCTTTCTTGGACATTTCTGTTTCGAATGTCACCGCCAACAATAAACAAAAATATTGCAACTTGCTCTTCAACCGAGACTTGTCGTCCAGTTTGAAGGTCATAATTTGTTTGTAACAAATTACACAATTGATAAAATACCTCTCTTTCCATTCGAAAATTTTCAAATATTCTTGTCCGATTCCCTTCTTGTAATTCCACCATCCACATCTCTTCTGTTAAACAAGATGTCCTACATGGTTTTTTTATCAAATAATTTGTTGCATATGTCGCTGCAACTGTAGCCGCCGTAACTAAGAGCATATTATTATTTTGTTGGGTTTGTGATATGCTGCCTTCATCATCAGTATCTTCATCATCATGGTCATCATTCCATTGGTCTTCATCATTGCTACTCATCTTTAAAACTGTCAACTGTGCTGGATAAACCATGTTGCAATTTAAAACTTTAAACAAAAACCAATAAATGATAATAAAATATCATAACTTGTCCAGATATACTAAAATCCTGAAGCATTCCTCATATGTTGAATTTTTCTTTTTTCTTTTTTATTTTTTCTGATAGAGGATGAAAAAAAAAATAAAAATAAAAATAAAAAATAAATAAGGGGACGGACAGAGTGCCAGAGGACAACAATTCATAAGGAAAAAGACCAAAACTTGTTTTACCCAACATCATGGCTTATTAGAAAGTCCTTACATGTGGTAGTTTAAAATTCAGAATTCAAAGTTATGCCCAGAAGTCAAAATCCATTGGCATGCATTTATGAAGAATTCCACATATATACTTGCTTCTCTTCGCACTTATTCTCTCCCCTGTCTCTGTGAATCTAATTTTGCAGTTATACCCTCTCAGGGAAATATTCTTTAACATGGGAATTTATATGTCAAAACCCAGAATCTAGAAATTCAAACAGATCAAAATTACTATGAAGTTCTGTTATGACAATTAAGCCTGTGGACATGAATGCAATTCAAGCAAGCAGCACTGTGATGACAGTTTAAGAAGCAGTTCCATGGGAAAGAAGCACTGTTATGACTGTTATGACTATAGGACTAAGAAAGTAGTATTCCATCACAAAAATTCCATAGCTACATTTCATGCAACCTGTCATCCATTTATCCCAAATAAAAGAAATAATGGCCATATGAACAAATAATGTCATAACAAATAATGTCATCCATTTATCCATTTATCCATTTCATGCAACCTGTCATACATTTCATGCTTTACATTTCAACCTGTCATATAAACAAATAATGGCCATACAAAAATGACATAGGTGAAACATTAAAATGTAAAGTAAGAAAATTATACCTTCAACTTCAACAAAATTATTACCTAGACAGATTGAAATGTAAAGGAAAAACAATGTAAAGAACAAAAATGAATTGAGTAAACCATTCAACTACATATACATATATATAACCTTCACCATTGACCTACCAGGCATATTCAACTAACATTCAACAACTAATTGCATTCCCCAACCATTCAACAAGTCAACAAGTCAACATGTCAACCATTCACCAACCATTCAACAATTTAGTCCAACATAATTTAATAAAATTTGAAATAATAAGTCCACAATTAAAAGTCCAACTACTCAATATTCATAAAAGGAAATATTAGGGAAATATTGCAATAGTCCACAATTACTAAAATAAGAAGTCCAACAGAACACTCCACAATTAATAACAACGAGACAGTCCACAATTAGCCGCGATAACCTGTGGTGGCCTTCTCCATCTCAATCTCCAATTTCAGAAACTTAAGGCGAACTTCATCCGTAGGAAGACTCATGAAACACTCCCGACGCTTGTCTCGTAAGAACAATCGGGCGGCCCATACATACAGGTTATCATCCGGGGACACACCAGGGATGTTTTCCAACATCGCCAAACAATCTACAATTGAAGGATATCTTGATGAGGTCTGTGTTGAAGTTCCTGAAGATGACTCAACCACATTGACTATGCGAGCAAGTGTCTTGTTAAGTAGAGCTGCACTAGTAAATTTCGTCTTCTTGCTCTTGGTTGATGAAGCAGGTGTGTTTGATGAACGCTTTTTGTTTAACTCAGACGGATGAATCACCTCCAAAGCATCATCATCATATTCAGCATCATGTGGGGTATGAAATTCCTCCACATTGTCATCAACGTCAAGCATAACCCCTGAACTAGGAGTGTATGCCCATTCTCCTGTAGCAGCTGCATCTGAGAATAATATGTCTAAGTCTTCACTAAATTGCAACGGCATACGCCGGAATTTAGCAGCATTAGGATACCTCTGCAACAATTACAAAGAAAAAAATAAACATTTACAATTATCAAAATTTGGTGCGTTTAAACAACAAAAACAAACATAATATGTACATTAAGCAATTTAAATACCTCCAATTTGTTGGTCCACCACTCATCAGATGCAGATATAGCTCCAGTAAATGTGTCACGGCCTAAGCCGGTCTCACCCCTTAAAAGATTGTTCCACAAAAGCCAATCTTTTTTCAACACATTCCAATGGTTTTTCATTTGTAGTCGTTGGTATGTTTTTCTAGTCATAGTTTTAAACGAAGTTATGACATTTTCCCACCCGACCCTATCTAAGTGTGTACCAGGTTTGTGTCCAACCTTCACTTGGTTAACACAAAGCTTAATAAAGATTTCATTTGATTTTGCATCCCAATGAGCCTTAGTAGATGGTACTGGAAAGGATTTTCCCTTATTCTGCCTATTTTGAGATTGTGTTTCTTGTTGGGTACTCATTCTATGAAACCAAAAAAAAAATTGTTTAACACATAGTCATTAATCATTGGTTGCATTAAAACATAAGACTAGTACAAAATAACCATACATGGCATGATTAGCATAAAACATAAGATTACTACAATAGACGTCTCATCATTGGGTACACAACTGAGCAAAAAAACACATATCTAAAAGCCACCTACAATCATTTGAAGAGTAATGCAACTGACAGAACAATACAAATTGTGAGCAAACCCACAACAAGCTGCTTCATAAATGTTACGGATTGCTCAAGCATTTGGTTCTTTACTTTTAGTCCTACAGTCTCGATGTTTTGATCTTCATAAAGATTTGTCTCGTTCCTCAGCCTCTCTACCATCGTCACAGATTTTGGGGTACACCACCTCCAAAATTGACAATTCCTCTTCTCACAATTTACATACAGTCTTCCTTTTGATGGCTTCTCAGATTCGGTTACCCTTATGGCAGCTCTTACACTACACTCACATTTCAAAGCCTCGTACCTCAAATCCAAGGTCTCAGCACTGCAAGCATAGTTACTAGATGATGACATGCCTCTGCAGTAATTAGGAAGAATTGAATCCACATCCTCTAAAATTGATTGGGAACTTAAAGATGTTATACATGATTATGCTAGTAAATTTAACACTCTGATTTCTGACCTTCAGGTTGGCAACTATGTGATATTGTTAAAGTCCAAAACAAAATATCATGCACCAGTCGAAGTTTGAAACTTCCAACAAAATATCATTACTGGTTAGTGAAATAAGACGCATTGGAAACTGGATCTGACAGTCAAGAAGTTTGTCCCTTTCTTATAGAAAACTTGGTAAATTTGTGCAATTCATTTGTTTTTATGTAGATTCTACATGTTTTTCAAGATTTTCAGTATTGTTTTCTTGTTAGAATCTTAAGGAACATATTTGATTCTTGTGATTATTTTTATTTAGAAAGCTGGACTAACTGATGTTAATTCATGCTGTAGGTCCACTATGTTGCTAAATGGAAAGGCATCACTTTTATGACAAGTAGACAGGGACTTGGTGTTGGTGGTGGAACAGTAAGATTTCTAGCATGGGCCTCCTATTTAGACCACTGCTTTCGTTAATTTTGGTTAAATAATCAGCGATAATACACAGAAACAAATGCATATGTAACTCATTGTCAAATACCACTATGAGAAGAACCAATTAACATGATTCATTGAGAATAGTTTTCCAGTAATTTTGATACTGCTATTCTATCTTTCTTTGAAGCCATGGATAAGTCATTCCTCTATCTAACTCATTGTCAAACTGTTAATGGTTCAGCTAAGTCATTCCTCTTTCTACATCAGGGAAATTATAATATTCATTCCTAAAGCATAAGGAGGAGGTCTATGGTTAAGGGACAAATAAGCAATTATGATGGATCTCAACAAAAGCCTTGATGGATCTCAACATATGGATCATATGGATCAGGTTTGAAGACATTTTGAAAACTTGACTGACTTATAGTAAAACTTTTCAAAATCATGTTAAAAAATAAGTCATCTTTTAAAAAAATGTTTCAAAAAAGAACTTCAGACATAAATTCAAACAATTGAAAAAAAAAATTATGAAACTTAAAGACTTTGTTTTATTTGATTTATTATGTGATAAATTAATAAATCATTTACTATTTGATAAATTATTTATCAATTTATTCATATGTTTAAGGTATCTATCCCATGTCTGGGTATTTTCTAAAACTTCACAAACTAATTTAACTGATAAAGGTAAAATTATCAGGTATCTTCATCAAACACTAATTTATCACAAGCCAAACAAATGACAGGAAAAAATTGTATCAAAAGCCATACACACACAACAATCTTCATTAAAAATTATCAATTATCTTTAAGATGTTATTTACGAAAATAAACTGAATGACAGAAAAATAAAATCAATATATAAATATATCATTTTCTTGAACTTCAGTAAAGGAGAGAGATGAAGTAAACAGAGCATAAATTTCTGTTTATCTTCAGATAAAGTATACATATTAATATCTTCATTAATAATCAGAGCATACATATTAATAAACAGAGCAGAATGTGCTTCGAGAGAGAGAGAGATGACAGATAAGGGAGAAAGCAAGCCAAGGGCAAGATGGAAGAGGAAATTTCAGACGGAGAGGGTGAATCGAAGGAAGAAGATGCGATCTGTCTGTAAACCCTAGCTGAAATGTGTGTGTGTATATATATATATATCACAAACAAAAGCCAAGAAGATGTGATCTTACCTTTTGTAGTGCAGATCTTGGAGAAATCTTCGAGAAATTTCGACTTCGATCAGCTGATCTTCGAGAGATACGAAAGATCGTCTTCGTCACCAAGAGCAAATGAGAAGACGAGTGTGAGGAGAGAAGTGGGCTAGGGCACGACGAAAAAGGGCTTATATAGTGGCATAACTGTAATTGTTGAAGTTTTGGAGGGGCATTTAAGTCATTTCATGCCCCTCCAAACAGCTGCGCGCTTAATCCGAAATCAGAAGCATCTCCGGAGCAACTTTGCCAAAATGGCTTAAAATGACTTTTTTTAAGCTATAATTTGCAACTTTAATTTTTACCAAACAGATCAGAATGGCTTAATTTAAGCCAAAAGTTGAAATAAGCTGAAGTTAATTTTTACCAAACAGGCACATTGTAAAATTATACCTCTACTTCTTTATTAAGTGACAAAATCATTATTTTTTGGCTAAATAAATAAGCATAATAAGCATGAGGAAAATGATAGACAAAACTTATCGAAAGTCCAAATTACTCTTTAATCAGTAGTTGATATTTAAAACTAAACTCACTGAAACATCATGATTATAAAAATAAAAATTTATACAAAAATTTTAAACTGAGCAACATGGTTCATTAGTTTTCAATTTTAAATATCAAAAATGTTAGAGGTCCTAAAAATTCTACTAAAAATTTTATCAAATGTCTCACATGGGTGTGGATGTGTGGGTCCCACACCCATGTGAGACATTTGGTAAAACTTTTGGTAGAATATTTGGTGTCTCTAGCATTACTCTTTAAATATTATCACTTTGACTTGTAATTTTAAAATAAATCGTTGTTTAATTATTTTTAAGATAAATTATAAATATATTTATTAAAATTTACTTAAAATATAAGTTACCCTGTATGATTTTAGAACTTAAATCACGAATCATGGGTAAATCTGTATTTTTAAAAAAAATTAGAGAATATATTCATAATTTTTTCTTATTTTTATTTATTTTTAAACCATTTTATTTGTGAGTTACTTACTTAAAAATCTTATTTATAAATGTTATGATAATTTAGATCATATTTAAGATTTTTTGAATCAATAAGTTCTATTTAGCAAGACTGTAAACATTATCAGTTTTTTTTTTTAATTTTTCAAATTAAGAATATTGTCAATTTTACATAGTAATGTTCCAGAAAATTGTTTTACTAACTGATAAAAAAACAAAGTATGAGATTAAATGTTTTTACTATTCTACTTATTAGTTTGATTCAACTATTCAATAAAATCGAAATATTAACAATTTTTTTTTCAGTTTTAAAACTGAGAACATTATCAGTTTTTTTAATTTAATTTTTTTTTTTGCACATCAATGTTCCATCATTATGCTCCTTTATAGACACAAAATTTTCAGTTTTACACAAAAAAAAAATAAAAAAAAATTCAGCTTTTTCAAAATTTTCAAAAAAACACTTTGTTTGGTTGTGGCTTCAGAAAACTCTACTTTGTTTATTTTTATTTTTTGTATTTTAATGTTTTCAATGATTTTTTTAATATTTTAAGCAATTTTTTTTAATTTTTAGACACACCAAATATAATTATACTTAAAAAGTATAATATTTGTGAAAAAAATCTTTAAAAATACACTCAATACCAAAAAATTTAAAAAAATTGAAAATTCAGTATATTTTTCTTATTTTTGTGTATTTATTAATTTTTTAAAATATTTTTTCACAAATATTTTACTATTTAGATACATCTAAATAAGGTGTATCTAAAAAAGTAAAAAAAAAATTAAAAAACATTTACTAAAAACAAAAAATAAAAAACTCAATTTTTATAAAACTGAATTCAGAAAGCTGAAACCAAACACACTGATTAGTTTTTTTTTTTCTTTTTTGCACATAATTTTTTTTAATTTTTTCAATTTGAAAGTTAATGTTTTAAAATTTTAAAAATCAAAATAAATGTTAAATCATTACAGTATGTTTCTTTATAAATAATCATAAATAATGAACAATCATTGTTTAAAGTGTAATTTCAATTATTAAAAATTTAATAAGATTTGAAAATTTAAAAAATCTTAATTATAATTTAATAAAATATAAATTTATAAATTAGAAATTGTGTAAATTCTACATTATCTTTTTGTGAAATTTATGTATTTGGATAATGTTAGAATTAGAAGATTAAAATAAACAGAGCATCTGATCCCTCGGTCTTTTGCCTTTCACTTTCTTTTTACCTTGAACAGAACAGGAACTCCCCCTCTGCCTGTTTGACTCTCTTCCATCATCACATACGCCCCTCTTGTCTCTCTCTCTCTCTCTCTCTCTCTCTCCTGACCCCCTCATGCTCTCACTCACTCAAGAAAAGAGAAGGGCTGCACTGATTAGCAAGTAAAAAGAGTGAGGGCTACATTGTTCTCTCTCTCTCTCTCTCTCTCTCTCTCTCTCTCAAAATACAGAGCACATTTTTCCAGTGAGAACAAGAACAATGGGGAGGAATTGGTCCATTTTACTTCTCATATTTGCTATTTTACTTTCTGGGTTCTCATCAGCTTTAGCGACACCACCTCCTGCAAGTGAGTATATATATACATATAATATAATCTAGCACATTTTGAATCCATACAAGTCTTTCATATCTCAATACTCTGATCATTTCCATACATTTGCAGAAATTCTTAGTGGGGTTGTTTCAAATGTTGTCTCTGCTCTTATTAAACGGTTGTGGTCACCAAAATCAACCACCACAACAGGTACAAATCTGTTGCTGTTCTCACATTTTGTTACTTACCCTGTTTTGTATTCCTTGTTTTGTTTATTTGAGATCTTGAGGTTGATGGGTTTTTGTGTTTTCAGCGATTTCTAGCCGTTCGATGATGAAATTTGAAGGTGGATACAATGTCGAGACGGTCTTCGATGGAAGTAAACTTGGAATTGATCCATACTCGGTTGAAGTATCTCCAACTGGGGAGCTCCTGGTTTTGGATTCTGAAAATAGCAACATTTACATGATTTCAACTCCATTGTCTCGATGTAAGTTTGATTTTCTTCCATATAAGGTTTGAACTTTGTGTTTTATTGATTTGTTCCATTCCATTAAACTGTTATTTGACACTAATCACTCATGGGTTTCGGAGGCTTGCCCCATTAGAGTAAAGATATTTTTGGTATTTTCGCACTTTTCCCTTGTATATGTAATCGAGGGAGAATGGTTATGTTTGTTTTTGTTGAGTTATCTTTTCTGATCACAGTGGAATCACAGCGACTATAACACTGGTTTTGGTATCAATCACCTAAATCTGGTGTGTGCGTGTGATTTACAATTCTTGTAAATTTTTTTATTTTTGGCCTTGCTAATTCTAATTTGGTGATACGGATTCTTAACAATCAAACCCTGCTCTTAATTTGTGAACTTTTTTGCACATTCCTACTAAATACATTTTCTAAGAAAGTTGCTGGTCTTTGATTTGTTTACTACAACTATACCAAAACTTCTAATTCAATTCTGCTCATCCAGGAATCGATTGTTCGGATTGTCCTTGGGAGAAGACCTACACCCAATTATTGATGATGATTTTCTTTAGTTAATCTCTCTCTTTTTATTTTGTTAAATTCATTATGATAAACTTTTGGAAATGTGCCTTGTGTTTGCTTTTGTTTGCAAGAAGAATTCACTTTGTAAAGTACACTAGACCTTTTCACTCTGTTTTGTAGAATCAATTCTATATTTTTTGAAATTTGTGAACTTGCACTTTACGTCTGAGGCCAAGTTTCTCCAATGACTGACCAAATTTCTTCTTTATTCTTCTTTATATTCATTTTTGATCAGATGATAAAATTGAAAATTATATAAAAAACATTCATTGAATATATCCATAGTTCCATACTCTTGATTTTTTAAGTAACCCGTGTCTAAGAAGATTCTGGGTCTGTACTGTCAAAGTATTAACATTTGCAAAATCTCAACCCTTTTGTCACATCATAAGTTTATTTTGCTAAAGGCTTGCAATGTAGATTTATTGTTGCAGATTAAATCCATTTTCTTTTAAGTTGTGGTGTTGATATCTTTACCAAAATTATTTCCAAACAGTCAATTGTAGTCATTCACTAAGAAAAGAATTTATTTGAACCTGTCACTGTCCGTGTCTTCTTTTATATATAATTTTTGTGTTTTTTTAATCTCAGATTTGGCAAGCCCACAAGGAATTCCAAAAAAACTGTGCAATTTACTTTTGTTTAGCAGAAGACTCCACTTTTTTACTGACTCGGTCTTCTAAATTTCGTTTATGCAAATTCATTGCCATCTTTATATGGGGTTCCGTCTTTTTTTTTTTTTTAATTTTATTTTGAGACCAATATTTCCAGTGACCACCTGAACTTGTTTAGTCTTCTTTAGATTCAATTCCCACTTCTTTTTCCTTTCCAACCCTGAAGGCTTTTTAGTCTATTTTATTGGTTTCCAATTTTTGTTAATTAGAATCTCTTGGTAAGAACAAATCATAAGGTAGAACAAGTAAGAATATGTATCATTGAAATTACTTGTCAAAAAAAGAAAAAAAGAAAAAAAAAGAGAATATGTATCATTGAAATTGAAAAAAGGAACATGAACTACCAGCTGTGATACATATCTTTGAATCCTCTCTTCTTTTTCCTTTTTAAGTTCATACAAAGAAGCACGATTCAGATATGCATTATGGCTAAAGTTTCTTGCTTCCTCTACCGCTGTGTGCAGATAGCCGGCCCAAGCTGATTGCTGGATCACCTGATGGGTATTCGGGGCTTGTGGATGGAAAGCCAAGAGAAGCTAGGATGAATCACCCAAAAGGGATTACTGTAGATCACAGAGGAAATATCTACATTGCTGACACTCTGAATATGGCCATCAGGAAGATCAGTGATGCAGGTAGAGTAGAGTTTTTGCTTAAAAACAGCCCAACCTTAGTAATAAAACTGTTATGGCAAAGGAGAAATTGAGAAAAATTCACTATAATGTGGATATTACAATTAGTCGGCCTTTTTTCAACAACCCCATGTTACAGAACCTCTCAAGATCCAAAAACCCTAGAACCATGAAATAATCCCTCAAATACAAAGATCCTAAAAACAGTAAACCTGGACAAAATAGATCCAAATACAAATGTTGGGTAGGACCCATTAAGTCAAAAGTATCTGGTCAGATCTATCAAGGAAACCTTGCCACTTGCCCATTAATCGGATTGTGCAGGTCACCAACGGGTGATAAACATATTTTGGGTTGAATTCAAGGCACACTTGCAACAAAAGTTCTCATCCTATTCAGTATGTATTTGACTTTATTCTCTGCAACCCCTACTGCTCTTTTTAAGCAAATCAAGATGGCTTATTAGGGTCAGAGGCTTGGAGGTAGAGACTTCAATTTGAAGTCAGTCTTCTCTCTATGCAGGGGTTGTCACTATTGCAGGCGGAAAGTGGAGCCGAGGAGGGGGTCATGTTGACGGTCCGAGTGAGGATGCAAAGTTCTCAAATGATTTTGATGTGGTTTATGTCAGAAGTAGTTGCTCTCTTTTGGTTGTAGACAGAGGAAACCAGGCAATTCGAGATATCCAACTCCGTGAAGATGATTGTGTCTACCATTACAACGGGAATCAGCATCTGGGTAAAACTCAGCTGTTACTTAAAATCTCATCCTTATTACCATTTCTTCACAGTCAAGATCATAGATATTCAATTGAGAAAATTCACACACTTGCAGGGATAGCAGTACTTGTTGCAGCCGGGTTCTTTGGTTACATGATGGCCTTGCTACAGCGTAGAGTCGGGGCTATGTTTTCATCCCAGAGTGTGAGTAATTCAGACATTTGTCAGATACTTTGTTTCTTCATTTAGGATCAATTTTCCTTCAATTTGAATGTGTATGTTTTCATTTTTACATATGGAGGAAAAGAAGAGAGTCTGGAAAAGTAGGCTTAGATATTGCATTTTTGTTCGTTTTTCTTTACTGATAACAATTTGTCTGTAAGATTCCCAATTCTGCTTCCAAACCATTCTGGGCAGTGAATAATTTTGGACTTTTTTTTTTTTCTTTTCTGTGATTTGAATCATGAATTGGCAGGGGAAAGGAAAGCTACTCAAGGTTTTCCCAAGCTGATTGTCTTCCTGATGAATTTGCTCAGGCACTAGAAAGCATGAACACTCCAAGATAGGCATGGTGTCTGTGTCTATTACATATCGAATACCAACACTTCGCAGACACTCGTGTTCACATGTGGGACACATCATGTAGAATGTCAATCATTCTAATTATTATTTGTTTGCAAGACATGTTGGGGACATGTCTGTATTTAGACATGCCTCATGACACATTTATGGAATTTTTTTTAAAAATATATGAAAAAAATGGGAAAAAAATAAAAAAAAATACATCCAAATATACATTATGCCTCTTGTATCTATGTATGTGCCCTAAATTTACTGTGTCTCTATTCAATTTTTTTTAACAATCATTCTAATTATTATTTGTTTGCAAGACTTGTTGGGGACACATCTGTATTTAGACACGCCTCACGACACATTTATGGAATTTTTTGTAAAAATATATGAAAAAAATGGGAAAAAAATAAAAAATACGTCCAAATATACATTAATGCCTCTTATATCTATGTATGTGCCCTAAATTTACCGTGTCTGTATCTAATTTTTTATAAAACCTATGTTCTGTGTTGATACCCCTGTTTTTTAGCTCATGCATTTTCAGCAAGTCATCTCGGATATGCACTTTACACATTTTCCATTGTAGGATCCTGAAACTCAAATGAGAGAAGGCATGTCACCAGCACCATATCAAAGGCCTCATAAATCAGTCAGGCCCCCCTTAATTCCACCTGAAGATGAATACGAGAAGCCAGAAGAGGGTTTATTCACTTCACTTGGCAGGCTCTTCCTCAACGGCGTCACATCGGCGGTCGAAATATTTGTGAGCTTATTTTTGGGTTTTAGGAAGAAGAAAAAGCCGCTAGTCCACCACCAATTCCAGCAGCATTACCAGCAACCGAGCAAACATTCAAATGCTTGGCCTATGCAAGAGAGCTTTATGATTCCACATGAAGATGAGCCCCCATCAATAGAACCCAGAACCCTGACACCAATGCAAACCTACCCATTTATGTCGAAGGAAGTGGAGAAGCCTCGCCACCCCAAGCGAAGCCGGACCTTTCACCACCAACAGCAGTATCAGAGGCATTACTCATCGGGGCCTCAAACTTTCTATGAGCAGAGCTGCGAAACAAAAGAGATTGTGTTTGGTGCAGTTCAAGAACAGGATGGGCGACGCGAAGCTGTTGTGATCAAGGCAGTGGATTACAAAGATCCTATGTATAATAACAACCATAATGTTCAATCTCGATGTAACTATAAGGGTGTCTCATATGGGCATTGATCATTTTTCTACTTTGGTATGATCAAATTACAGAGAATACATATGAAGAAGATGAGAATGTGGAAGCTGAATGCAGTGATATTTCACATTCTTTTTTTTCTTTCTTTACAGGAGATATGTTGGTTTTTTGAATTTTTCCTTGGTGAATTTATTAGTATATAAACTGTATGAGAAATTGAGATTATGGGTAGGAATATGATTTAGAAACAGAAATTTTATACAAAAAAATTGGTGTCTTAAGGCATCTCTAACGGTTCACCAAATATTTCATCAAATCTGAGTAAAAAAAACATGAATTCTTTTATCTGATATCAGCTGCTTCAACGGTGTTGTCATCAAAACACAGGTTGACCGGGGGGACGTTCGGCCGGTCGACCGGCAACTGTTCCAGCTTACAGAGGCAGCATTCATCCAGTCTGTGGAAACATCAACCTCCTCCTCAGTCAAGAAAGAACCACCGGAAACATCCATTGAAGTCCTTTTCTAAGCAGTCTCAAGCCTCATACTCCGATCAATATCCATATTCAGTTCAGTTGCTAGTGTTCTCTTGTTAATCTCTGACCTTATGGCTTCCACTTCAATCACATCATCACTGAGGCACCGAAGTATTCAATTTTTACTATTGCTGGTTGTTTGTAATAATCACTCTCAAATAGCTTCAAGTATCTCAATTTTTACAAAAAACTTTTCTTTGATGGATACTCTTCAATCAGAGAGAGAGAGAGAGAGAGAGGTGCTTGATAATGGAGGTTGTTGAAGAATGTCCAAAAGAAAGCATCAGTGAGAGAGACACTGAGTGTTCTTGATATGTGCGAATGAGTGAGCGAAGAGAGAGACATTGATGGAAGCACTTTGAAAGTCAGGAGTGAGTTTATGAAAGCACTTGAGCCTTTTATGAAAAGTGCCTCATCAACCATCACCACCACCTCCTCTCTTTCTTCCCCCTTCCCTTCTCACTCTACTTCCTCCCTCTACCTCTTCTTCTTCTTCCTCCCATTACCCATTTGGCTCTCCTTACTCTTCTCTCTCTTCAGAGCCTAAACCATTGGGGATTTGGGGATTTCTCTTCCAGACCAAACGTAAAGAATGTGTTGAGTTGGGGATTTTTAATATGGGTCATCTTTGAAAAGTGAGTTTTTTTTTTTTTTTTTGGTTTTGAAGCTTAGGTCTTTTTTGTGTGAGCTTTCGATTGTGTTTTTACCAAAATCTCTTAATATTGATTAAGTAATCTTTGGAGAGGTAAGTGGGTTTTTGAAAACAGAAGTTGTTTATGAGCTTAAAGCAATTCCATCTACTGTTCTTGTCCAGGCATTGGATGTAACTCCATCAATTCCATGGTCGAAAAGCTTGATCTTACATGCCGAGGGCTAGAAGGTTATGTCACTATCATTTCTGAGCTCAAAGCATTGAAATGGCTTGACCTTTCATATAATAACTTCCATGGATCAATCCCACCTGCTTTTGGAAATTTGTTTGAGCTTGAGTTTCTTGATTTGTCTTCAAATTAGCTTGGAAATTCAATGAATTGTTCAAGGAAGAGGACGACCGGGTCATCCGGTGGGTTCCATACTCAACGATCCTACACAGTAAAATAGTGAAAGGTTCTTAGATCCTTAGTTTGGTGAAACATTTGTTATTTTCTTAGTTTGATATAGGTTTGATGAAACCATTGGAGGAAAAAAAGTACTTTTTCACCAAATTTAAATTTAATGATGGATTTGGTGAAGCGTTGGAGATGACCTTATTGGTATTTTTTAAATAATAAGACAATTTAAATGAGTTTCAAATCAAAAATTGAAAAACAAAGCTAGCATGGTCAAGATCAATAATTAAACGTTTTTTTTTTTATTTTTTTCAATATTTTACATGAAATCTCAACAAAGTCAAAATAACTAAGCCACGTGATCTTAAATATGAATTTTGTTGCCTTTTCATTTTCAAAATATACACTTGGTGAAGGGCTTTGTCACATTTTACTTTCCAACCATCCATTAATTTTGTTAGGGACCCAACTAAACTACCAAAAATTCTATACAATGTTCGGTGGTTTTATAGAGATGTTTCCATATTTTATTTTTGTCACATTTTTTACTGTTGTAAAGTTTCAAAAGTACCCCTCCTATTGTTATTCTTTGATTTTAAACCGCGTTGATAATAGAAATTAAAATGTAACAATTCACTTAATTTTTTTATAAAAAAAAATAGAGAATAAAGTGTAACTATTAACCATTTATTGAAACCAAAGAAAGGAGATCAAGAGAAGATGTCAAGGCCCGAAATTTCACAAACCATAATTGATCTTTCTTGAAAAGATGTTTACAGATAATCTCATACTTATGTATAACAAAAGAATTGATTTAAGACTTTCATGTTTTTGTGCATCACATGAAGCAATATATACTTTCTCTAGCACTATTTGAACTCCCAACCCAAACCCAACTTCAATGACCATATACAACGAAATGGTCACAAATGGAGAAGTAAAAAAAATATAAATAAATAAATTTCAGAGTCAATTATGAACCCCAGTGACGACAGAATTTCCGTCTCCAGGACTCGGACCGGACTTGATGCCCCGGAGAGCAAGAACTTGATCGTATCGATGACCATTCCCAACTCGTCGGGGAGTCCTTGATTTCATCTTGTCATGGTGGTGGTGGTGGAAGTGAATCGGATCGTTGATGGGGCTGGCTTCAATGGAGGTGAAGAGCATGGCCAAGCATAGTGAAAGAACTAGGAGGAAAACAAAGTGGTTGGCTTGTCTGGCCATGAATGCAACACTTTTTTTTTGTTTTTGCTTTTGTTTTTATGTTTTGAAAAAAACTGTGGTGTAGAGATTAAGAGACTCAGAGAGGTATGCCTAGGTAGGTATGATATGAGTTGTATTTGATTTTGTTATGTATTTATAGGGTGAGATCGATGAGATGCAAGTAAGCTTTGGAAGAGTCAAATGACCAGTTCAAACACGCATCTAAATTCTTTGCATGTTAGGAAGCAACCAAGGAAATTCATGGAGAGAGAGAGGTGGTTGAAAATTGCTATGTAAACTTGGAAAAATTATGCTCTAGTGGTGATTCACAAGTCGTTATTGAGGGTTTTGACCGTTTAATGCTAAAACAGTAATTTACTTTTATTAATTTTTAAAGTTGTTAGATTAGGCTCAAAACATCCATATTTAATCTGAAATATTGATTGACAAATAAAATTCAGATGAAGTTCTCTATTTTCTATTTATATTGTTCTTTTTGTGTGTGCGCTTTAATTTATTCTATACATGGTCCTGCATCAGTGCATCTCAGTGACATATGTATGTAGTTAGTGGCGGAGTCAGAAAATTAAATTAGAGGGGGCACTTATTAATTACAATATCAAAATTTTTTATAAAAATATTTTACGTAAGTTTTTACGATTGATTTCGAGAAATATCAAAAAAAAAATAATGTTATTTATAACTAGTGTATCATGAATAATATAAAAAAATATGGATATAAGTCTTAAAATAAATTATAGGGTAAATTACAAATACACCCTCTGAGCTTTGATTAAAATACGAATCGCCCCCTGTGATTTTGAAAATTACATTTCACCCTTGAGATTTCTAATTTCATAACAAATAGCTCATTTTATTAATGAATCATCAAATCAATTAACAGTTTTTAATGATATTAGAAATATGTTTCAATTAATAATTTAGGTAATTTTATTATTTTATAGAAGATCAATTATGAATTTCATTTTTTTAGTTAATTCTGTTAAATAAAAAATACTAACAAAGAGGTATTTGTAATTTTCCAAACAACAGGGGCAATTTATATTTTAAGCAAACCTCTTGAGGTGTATTTGTAATTTATCCTAAATTATATAATGATAAATTATTTTTTCATACCAAATTTGATTAAAAATTTAATATAATGGTAATACCAAGTTATCATTAGTATGTAATACCACCAAAGAATAGTAAATAAACACATAGAGAGTGAACCTCTATGTCAAATGTAACTAACAATCCAATAAATTTTATATTTTTATAGTGAGATTACTTATACTTGCATATCAATAATAATGACATCACCGTTACATTAAAAAAAATTTGTAAAATTTTTATAGATATTATGGTTTATAGTAGTCCCTTCATTTTCAATCAAAACAACTATTATTGTTTTCATAATTTTTAAAATATCATTGATAATTCACTCTAACAATATTTTTATAATTTTTTTATTTAAAATAAGTACCTCCGCCACTGTATGTAGTGTTTCCAATTAGTGAGACTGCACAAAAAAGATAGATAAAACAAGTAGATATTGTATTTCGTCCATCGAAACAAAGTGGATTTGATTGACTTCACCCAACTTCTAATCTTATTGGTTCGGGATATCTTACTATTATATAAAGCTTACACCTGAGTTAATATAGACTATTATATTTTTTTAATTTTCTCAAAATATCCTCATGTATATAACTGTCCAAATCAAATTCAGATAATATTTTTTTTACAATTTCTTATAGTTTTAACAATACACTCATCGAGTATACACACGCAGAGATATGAATGAGTATTTAAGAAGTACAACTTTGAAGAGTGATATAAACGCCAAGACTAGTTTAGTTGAAATTTGGACTCCCGTGTGTAATGTTTATTTGACCAGTAAGATTATATTCTCATGCTATGATTCAAATTTCGTAATTCAAGATATTGCTACTTGGTTGTTAGAAGACGTCATAATTGTGCTATTCTATTTGATTAAAGTGGATGTTCTAATTGCTTTTTTTATATCTGATTGTGGGGTTTAATTTAATAGTTCACTATTTTTCTTGCCACATAACATAGCATAGCATAATTTTATTTATTGCAACCAAATCCTAATATATAAATAAATAGTAATGACTTATAGTTGGAATTTTTTTATCAATATTTAAATTAATATAATTTGCAATATTTATAGATAATCTTGTATAAAAAAACAAAAAACTGAGCTAAAAAAGGGGTAACTGTGCATAACTTGATTTTCTTTGTCATAAGTTGAAATTCAACCAATTGAAGATCTGCCTTTTGATTTTTATTTACAGAAATGCTATGGTGTTAGACAAAGCATCTTAGATTTTTTTGAGTGA